TGTAGCCAACCATGGTCTGGTTTATGGTACCCAGAGTACACCCTTCAGGGATACCCACCCCAATATTACAGAGTAGGCGTGCCATAATCATGCAGGGTGTTTATTTAATTTCTAACACTTAAATTTATTAAATCCGATACGTCTGATGTTTTACAAACTTTTTTTGGTTGACAAATACTTAATTTTGGCTGGTCTTTGACAAATGTCTGGCTGAGGCCCTGACACAGAAGCTAGTATAACAGAGAATTGTACTAACCACATCACATGTCACAATGTTTTTAGTTCATTTCTAATACAGTCTATTAAAAAGCTACAACCCTTGATCGAGAGTAGTATAGGGGGTTCTTTTGCATGGTTCACAGTCCGAAAAATAACCAATCACCGATCGAAGGCATCAAAATTTCATTTTCCCAAGTCACAAAAAAAATCAAAATCTCACAGTCAGAGGTCATGTCACGCCCCATGCGAATATGAAATATGCTGATCACGCATCACAAGAATACCCTCTGTGCGATCTCCTTTCTTATTTCTTAACTAAAGTACTGCTCTAATGAAGGTGGGTCAACACCAAAGAAAGTAGAGGTCGTTGACCCATATGTACATGAGTGGGCATTTCTCAACAAAGCACAAACTATGTACATCTTGCCCACGGCACTAAGTCCAACTTTAAGATTTCTTTTAAAATCCAAAAAAGAAAAGTATTCTAAAATGTCACCAAAAACCCACTCTACTGCAGTTCTTACTGTACTCATCGACAAATTGAACAGTTGCTGCTGTGCTGTTAAGGCAGCACCTTTAAATGGTCCCTGTAGATGGACTCTTAATGGGTATGCAGGGTCGCCATATAAACAAAGAGGTTGGCCAGTTGGAGCTATACAGTGTGTTTCCAACATTGGCAGCAAGCCAGACACGGCTAGCATACCACTATCATGTCTCCTACCTTAGACAGGACCAAAAAGGTTTACAATGAGGCAATTAGGTGCAACGACACTTTGAAATTTAATGGCGTGAAGTCGCTTGTGTCCTTTAAATAACACCCTTTGATGTTCACCAGGCCTAGCAACTGGTCGCACGGTTCCATCGATAAATCCCCAGCAGTTATCAAGAGCGGCTCCTTTCCAGTAGATCGACTGAGAAATATCTACCAGATTAGCCTGAAACAGCCATGGTTGGTTTAGACTCGACAACTAGTTTCCAAAGTGGGCATAAAGGAAACCCATCGTTTCGGACACCACCATACTTAACTGCGGGACAGGTCTTCCAAACCGTGGAACAAGGTCTTCTTACCTACACTGATACGCAAATCGACGTAAAAGCAGACATAAAGCCTTATCACTGTTCACTGTTGATAGAGGCATCCACTCAATACAAGTTCGGGTTACAGTAAATATGGGGAGACAAAGCAGGGTCTTTGGCTGGTATCCATTTTACATGAGCATATAACATATAACAGTTTATTACAACATTTCTACTTAATTGATATTAATGACAGTAATTACCTTTATTTAGACAAATTCTTTCTGCCAAGTCTTTGCGTTGCACAAATCTGTGCAGTAATGCGTCATTCAAAGCTTGGTAAGTTGCGTCACAACCTTTCGTCTGTTTCCATTTCAATAACATTTGGTATGCTCTCTCAGCAAGCTTGTCAGGTTGTTGTTTCAGATTCTGTATTTCTGGCTTCGTAACTCCCAGGCGACGCCCAAGCACCATCCAATCTTCACCAATTTCGTAGCCTAATTCTTCCAATTCATCTTCTTTTGGTTTACCTTTCTTTACTTCAAAAGGGAGAGAACACTACCATTACCAAGGTTGTCATCTCCATCTTAATCTAACTTAATCCTGAGGTCACAGTGAATCACAAAAGATGTTATGTAAATTGAAATAGTATGGGATCTATAAATGCTAAGTAGTACAATTCTGTATATTTTTCATTCCTTAATATCACCTTAGTTTTAAGGTTACGGTTACAGTTGGTAAGTGTTGGTAAGTGTTGTCCAATTTTACCACGAAAAAATTACATGGTGGGCTTTGCTTAACTACAAAAGAAATAGTTTTTAAAATGCCACTACTGTTACCATGGTTTCGTAAACAACTTAAACTGATCCAGTTACGAAAAACAAACAACAGTCCAACATAATTGAGTTCTGCCAATAAGTGTTCAGGACCAACCCACGCACAAATCATACTTAGTTTCGAGGGGACTCAGTGCTTGCTTCCTGTTATCGCTATTTTTTTCAAAGTGTGAAATGCAAGATCCTCTCTGAGGCTAGGTAGGTGATTTTACCTACCTCCTACCCCACATCCTTTTGAGGACAAACGAAAATGTTCCCATTCTGCCACAATTCCACCAATGGAAGGAAAAACATAACCCAGGACATAAACGCGTAACCACCACCCATAATCTTCTACTTGACTGCTCTGTGCAAGGACTAAACTCCCTATCAGCTTTTGGTGCAAGTAACATGAGGGTCTATTTGTATCTATAACTTCATTCTGACAAATTCTGATGTTTTTTAAAACAACAATGCTCACCTTCTAAAATATTCAAATCATTTATTTCACACGAAATTCTCTTAAACATAATTTCTGATCATCCCTCTCCTCTTTTATAACATGTTCACAAAACTATGGCAAAGTATCACGTAGGATCATTATCAATGACCTTGAAGTTACTTTTCCAGACGAATGTTTAGTATTTATGAACAAAACGGCTAGCAAATGTACCTTTGGGTTGTTTCAGACGCTTGCCACTGCAGCCAGGTAACATCTGTCTCCTTTTTTTCCCTTAGGAAAAGAAGTTGTCATCCCCATATTAATCTAACTTACACCTGAGGTCACAGTAAATCATAAAAAGTTTTTTAATGTAAATTGAAATAAACTGTCTATTTCTAACAAAATTGTCCAAAAATCAATTTCTGATCATCCCTTCTTCTCTTCTAAAATATGTTTACAAAACTATGGAAAAGTATCATATAGGATCATTAGCAATGACCTAAGAGGTACTTTTCCGGACGAACATTTAGTATTAAGATTAATTTATGAACAACACAACAAACAATAATCAGCCATGTCCACACATGTACCTTCGGGTTGATTGGGACGCTTGTTACTGCACTCGGGTGACATTTTTCTCTTTCTTTTTCCTGAGAACGGAAAAGAGGTTGTCATCTCTTTATTAATCTAACTTACACCTAAGATCACAGTAAGTCTTAGGAAGATCTGTTACTTAAATGGGAAAAAAATCTAAATATGCCTACAGGTACATTATGTCTATTTGCCCACCATTAAAAGATTCTTAATTTTTGTATCTAATGGAAGAATATTATCAAGCAAAATTACTTCCCTATCTTGCAGATTTATTTAGTGGAAAATGAAGGCAAAATTCGGATGTCGGCAGTATCAAAAGAAGATAAAAAAAACACTAGACTTAATTAGAGAAATGCTCTTGAAAGAAAGATAAAAGTAGCAAAATTTCAAAATATAATCGCTACAATGACTGTTATATGGGTTCAGCACCTAATAATAAACCATATGACGGAGCGCTGAGTTTTGCGAGGATATTTATATTCCCTGTTATCGCGAAAAAAGAAACTTTTCATTTTTCGACAAATCATAGCCTAAACCTACAAACTTGCTAAAACTTTGTTTTGTGATACATTTGCTTCCTTTCTGTGTCATTTTGTTTGTTTCTTCAGCTCGTGGTTCTTTAAATTCTCATGTACAAACTTCAATTTTCAATTCGATTGGCCCCTTTACCCCATTTCGTCGCCACTTCCTTTTTATCCAGTTCTTTTAAGTGCTTACTTCTCTGTGGATATTGAAGTTTCGGGAAGAGAAGAAGGGTGGCTCGCCACACCTTTGGGCATCCGTTTTGGAATTGCTATGTACCAATTTCAAACCATGCACCACATAGGTTAGTTCGAATGTAATTTTGACGCTTTGCTTTTCTGAATGAAAACATTCTACTCAGCGAGTTTCGTTTTGGGTCATTTTATAAAAAAGCACTTAATGTACATTGTAGGTGTGGTAAGCACGTTCGCCGACGAAGACTGCAGGTTTAGGCCTTTCCTTGAACTTGTCTCAAATGGCCACTTTGGCGATGGAGGATTTTCATATATATAACCCCACGAGTGATTTGCTAAAGTCTGAAGAGGAATATGGTTCAGCTGTCAACAGCCGATAAAAACATTGTTGCCGTTTGTGAGTGTGACAAAGTAGTGTTCAAAATCAACTAAATAGCATTATAAATTTAGTGAGAGTACTATGGATACTTAAAACAATAATTCCTCAAAACCAAACATCGTCTTTTAAGAAAAAAATCATACCGTTTTTCTCCTTGCATTTAAAGGATACCAAAGCCTAAAAAGTGGAAGAAAATAGTGGCAATATAAAACGTACAATAATTAATAGCAATTAAAAATAGTGAATTAATTTAGATAATTAATAGTGGATATAAAGTTGATTTAAATGTTTCATCGATTAAAAGAAGCCTTAGAGCAAGTGAAGATACAATATGATCTCAAAAGGACAAAGTGCAAAAAATTAACCAGAACAGAGCTAGGAAAAGTTTGATTTGCAAATTGGCTTAAGCGCATGCAACAGTGATATTGAATTGACTGTACTGCCCTTTGTTTAGGACCCTCAAACATCATCATCCAAAATACTACCGCCTAAAGGGGGCAAATTCTTGCGCTAAATCATGGATAAAATGTCATAAAAATGATAAAAAAAAGGAGTGCACTTTTTCCTTCTTAACTTCCACATCACTTTGGAAAAACCCCCTTACCATACAGCAAACCATGGGCTGGTAAGAGGGGAGATAATTTCAACTGTCTCTGGTGCAGCTTTTTCATCATAATTATGAACTATCTACAAAATGAAAGTTCCATACTCCACTGAGTGACTTTGCTTAAGATCAAATTAACCAACTTTCTTAAACCCAAAATTGGCTGACCTGAGTCCAAGGTTCCAATTTTTCTGCAGAAAGATGAGGAACATCATCAACACAATATTTACAACTTGCGCTAAGACCCAAGCTCCTTAATTTAAGGTAGTGACCACAGTCATCATGGCGACAGCCTTCCTGTCCGTGCCATATGCAAATGTCAGTACCCACGCGACTCTTCTTTGGACAAGGCTCACACAAAGAGCATTGCACATGCAATTCCCACGTAACTGACTGTAGCCAACGACAGGTGATGCTAAGTTCAGACTTGCAGTGTTCCAGATGACTGAAAAAGAACAAAACCAGCAGAATGAACATAAACAACGCGAATGACGTAAGTATAGTAATTGGTATGGAAAATATAAGTGAAGTTAGTCAACTTTACTGGAAAATTGTTACCTGGAGGGGCCTCCTATCTAAAATAAACTAGGAGTCTTTCCCTAAGTGACAAATTCTGGCGTAATTATCCTTTGTATACTGTGTGTGATTATCCAGTGACTTGCTCTAATGATTGAACGCACTACTGGTGGTTTGAAGATCGGCAACAGCAATAAAAGCGTAGAAGTCAATAACTAAATAAACTTCGCCATCTTATGATCATTCAGCTTGCATGTAGTCAAAGAAACAATGCTTTGAGAACTCACCAATTTACAAATTTAAAACCCAAAGTAAGCTTCCTTCGCTTTGAAATAAAGCTCATTTTGATTTTAAGAGTTGTACGTTACAGCCGAAAAACACGGCAGCAAGAAATGCTGTTTGGCACTCAAGAGGATGCCTATTCTTCTAATTATTCCTCTTCGGAGGGTTAAGCATTTAAGGTTACCGTGCACCTCCAGGGATGTCTCGCGTGCAAGCGATGTAGCGCGTCCGGTTTAAACTGTAGATATCTAAACCCCTATTTCAAATTAAAGCTTGTAGGACTGACTATCAGACTATACCAAAACTTTTGAAAACAAAATTAACTGTCGAATTTTTCACGACTTCTAAATACGAGCGCCCGAATCACCTTTTAAGAGCTACAAGTCAAAAGGAATTTGTTCGATTGCTCTCAAATTTTGACAGTAGCTAGTTTTACATATAAACAACAAAAACGTCTCTCCGAATTTTTTATTTCTAAGTACTTTTTTTTCAAGAGCGATTTTTGTACGATCACTCCACACTTTTTTAATACTATTTCAAAAATGTTCTGTAACTTTTCACTGAAATTGAATGTGGCAAATTGCAGACGCGTTTTTTAGCGCTTTCGCCCCGGAAACGGAGGAACACATGAAATAAGCGAAAAACAAAATTCGCTTTCACATGTAACGTTCAAAAGGTGATTCAGGCGCTCGCATTTAGGAGTCGTGAAAAATTCGACAATTCATTTTTTTTCCAAATTTTTGGTATAGTCTGATAGCCAGTCCTATAAACTTTAATTTGATACCGCGGTTTAGATATCTACAGTTTAAACCGGACGCGCTACATCGCTTGCACGCGAGACACCCTTGAAGGTCCACGGTAACCTTAAGGAACCCCGTCGATTCAGAAGCAAAATTCTGCCTTATCCTCATTTGTGATATGAAAACTTTTATCTGATTTCTTAAAATATAGTGAGTCTACTTACTACTACTAAACCCCTTCTCACTGAGCTACGAAAAAGAACTAGGGACAACTACTACTTGCCTTAATAATTCTTCACAAAGACTTTGCTCTTTCTCTGCGTCAGAGTCACGCCTTGTCCAAATTGCCAACTTGATCACAGTTCTGTGGCACTTTAATATGAGGTGGTAATCCTCGCTGACTTGAAATCGGGCGGCGTTTGCATAAAACGCGGGGGCTTTGCAGTGGGGATAGAACTTTGAGGCCCAATGCCAAAAAAGTACACCTAATCTACAAAACAGTCCACTCGGAATGTACTTAGTGTTAAATTTGAGAAACACTGGTAAAGGACCATTTTGAACTTTTGGTCCTCTTGTATCCTTTATTGGTGATCTCAGCATAAATGGTACAAAGTAAGGGTACTCTTTCCCATTGCAGTTCTTAGAGTCGCAAATAACAAGAAACTTTTCCATGATGTGAATCAGCGAGTCCCTGATACCTTCCAATTCCAGATGTTTAAATGCTCGATTTAGCAACTGCTGTGAAAGCAGCCCTCTTCTTTTAAGGAATTCGTAATCTTTCTGAATACTGGGGTCGTTTTTCCACGGTGGACTCACTGTAATTATCATACTAAGTACTCGGATTAACCACTCTGGATCCAGAACGACTAAACCATCTGGCTTTTCAGGGTGGTCTTGGTAGATCACACTTCCACGGGCTTGCAAAAAGTGTAGCAATTCTTCAACATCATCCGTGTTATTAATCTGGCAAATGCCTTCAGCAATGTCTTCTTTAAAACTCTTTTTACACACATAACGAACCTGTCTATCTGTTACCATTTGGTGAATTTTTTCCTCAACACGGAGCCACTGCAAAGGGATTTCATTGTTGATATGTGGCATCCTTTCACACAAATCCAATAATTCCTTACGCAGTGAAACAATTTGTCGGTCGTTATCCCTGTTTGGATTTGAATTATCTATGAAGAACGATTCTTTTGAAATGTGTTCTACAGTTGCGCGAGAAGCCTTGTTGCAAATGGTTTTGAACACGAAATCCATCTTTTCCCGAGGATTCGTTACACCATCGGCATGTGTACCCACAAGAACAACAGGAGGTAACGAGGCAAGGGGTGCGTCACTGGGCAAATTACCCCTCAAGCTTTCTGACTTTTTTTTAACCAAAGAGTGCACCAGATCTAACCACCTCATCATGTGATCAAGATTTGTGTCCTCGTCATGAGGTGACTCAACCACTTTCTCATCGTTATGAGTCCTAACCCGACATTGAGCAGGAGTGCATAATTCCTGGGTAAGATCTGATACTAGAACATATAGGTCTTCTTGCAATAAGAAAATAGGATGAATGGCATGATAAACTGCCTGGCCTGCGAAATCCCAGACCATAGGCCATATTTTCTTAGTTCCCTCGAGGCCACGCTCCACGAGAAAGAGTACTTCGTCAGGTATTTCTTCTAGTTTTTGTTCCTTTTTGGCATCCTGGGCACCTAATATCGAAATTTTGTTTTGTTAATTTTTTTGCTTTGGTTAAAAACACTCTCCCCTGCGTACACAGCACACAGTAGCAGATCACTTAGGAATAACTATTTTCCATAATCTTCACTCAGGAGTTATTGTTTAAAACATGTGTTAACACTAGTTAATGAATATCATCCAGTGGATAAGCGCTAAATATAAACTAAAACTTCGCAACCCACCCTGATTTGCACTTAGTGTATAATAGTTTTGGCACCAGAGCGTTGTCCCAGGGAGTCTGAGGACTAATTCCCCCCTTTTTATTTAAAGACGCGACGAATTCAATCCTGAACATAACGGTCAACCGGAGATCATATAAAGATGTACAAGATGTATGGATGGCCCTACAATTCGTTGCACTCTCAAATATCAGTTCGTATTTAAAACAATCTGTCCATTTGTTTTTTAGTTTGACTGTTTCCTCTGGCAACTAGTGCAAAAATAAACGGGTCACTATACATCTGTAACCTTCAAAGCTACAGTAACGCTTTTCATCGCAAGCGCGAATCACACCCGAGCGCGAATGTCACCCACTCCTTGTAGAAATATGCGTAACAAAGCATTAAAAAGCGCTGTATCCCAGAAGGGGGATTTCTACAATTGCGTGATTTGACGACAGTTTATAGGCGGAAAATGCACGGGCGTAATGCACCCAAAAAGATCTCTTGGGTAGAGACTGTACACGAGTAGTCTGTTCATTAAAATGGGACGTTTTCCGCAAATCTGAAAAGGCGGGCCTATCCGTGCATTGCCAATGTTTTATTTTACGCAGGCTTGCCCACTGTAATGCCCCACACCGATCTGCATAAAATAACTAGAGAAAGAAAATTCTTTTTTAGTAGAATACAATGAACTTAAATAAAATTTCTGGAATTTCAAAGTAGCTTGGGTCTGTAAAGAACAGAGCTGGCGTTAGGAAGCATCTGTAGTCTCGTAAAGCACGCTGATGTGCCGCGACAGAACTTACACGACGGAATACAGCGTGATCGTGTCGCTCTGATATTATGATTTGTACAAATTTTTGACAGTTACGCCAGTTTGACTATGTTTTCTATAATTCCCTTTTGTTTTTTTCTGTTTTTGTGTGGCTTACACAAAGTGTGTAGCCACATTATGGCACGACTGGAGTTACTTATTCCGTCATTTGTCCACGAGAGTACATATAAATGTTGTGCCGCGTAGCACTATGAACAGCAAAAATGATGGAACAGAGAATTAACTGAGAGGCAGTGCTAAGTGAAACCCCTGAAAAACCAACTGGGGGTTAGCCCTAGTAAAGGGTATCAGGGAACCACACGAGGTAAAGAAAAAAACTCCAATGACCTCGGTGGGAATCGAACGCACGACCTCCGGATTGGACCTATTGTTGCTCTGTCGACTAAGTTACGAGGTCGGACAGAGAAAGTTGGGGTCGATAAAGGTGGTAAATCGCGGTGAAGAGAAAGTATGGTTAAATATAAATATTGTGCCTCGTAGCACCATGAACACAAATAGTGGAACAGAGAATTAACTCTGAAGCGTGAATTAAAGTGCTACGTGAAACCCATGAAAAACCAAGTATATCGTATACTGTTTACGTGTGAGAATATATATATCTTATTAGATGTTTTGTTGTGTAGTATCACTGAGTATTTTAACGAGTTGTACCGTATTTTGACGAGGCCGTAGGGCGAGTCAAAATACAAATAACGAGTAAAAATACTCTGTGATACTACACACAAAAACGTCTCATAAATTATTCACTATCCAACACGCTAAACTTTTAATCCAGTCCGGGCGAATCTCGCGGATATTTATTTACGGAGAGTGCGTGACAGAAGTATGCGAAACGGAACGGAATTGGCTCGTTGTCGTAATGCTAATTCTATTTTCTTCAATAAATGAAGACATTTCCAGGTCGTCTAGCTGTTTTTCTTCGTTTGATTCATTTAATAAACTTGGATGCATATTTGCCAGCCATTTTGCCTCTTCATCATCGGAAATATGAGTCAAATTGTCCGCCACTCTTTTTTTCGTAACTACAATTCAACTCTTCGCTTGCGCGATGCGAGAAAACCTGTTTAACCGGTGCTCTAGAGTACAAATACCGCGTGATATTTGTACTTGTCTATGGCGTTATTTGTACTCTACGAAGTGTAGTTGGATAATAAAGATTGTTACTGCTTACTAAAGAAAAACCTCGAGCGACAAAAGAACTAAGAAAGGTTAAATAGTTCTGAAGTATGGCACCTCTGTATGGTCCTGTATGCCAGGGAGTCTCTGATGTATCGAGTATTGAAGAGCGGGATCCATTAAAACTCGAGCACCCGTGTTTGGTTATTATTAGTGACCCGTGTGGTGACTGAACGCAAGTAAAAGTTGCAGACTGCTTAATGTAGCAAGTAGAAAGATTGCAATAAATTGAAAATTTTGACTTGTTTGACTGTCTTGTTGATGCTACTATGAAGAACTGAACAAAAAACCACACGAGAGTGCCTTCATTTAGTCACTCAGATCACGTGACTTACCATTTATTCAGTGACGTCGCAGTAGCGGTATCGATATCGAAATCGAAGAAAAAAGTAAATATCGCAATCGGTATCGTATCGATTCAAAAAAGCCGTATCGACCCATCCTTAGTATTCCAAATAAACTGCCTTATTATGCACTTGGTGCATCACGAGATGCTGTTAGTATTTCATATATGTACCATCAAGTCTCGCACGCTAATACTCTTTACAACGGCTAAGGCTGGTCAAAAAACGACATCTAAGTTTAATGTTAACTAGTGGCCTGTTCAAATCATTGATAAAACAAGTTTTATTCAATAACTACGTAATCATTTCAATAGTATTAGTTGGCATTAATCCGATGCGAGATGAATGCGCAAGAGAAACAAAACGAACGCTTTTTGTCGATCAGTCACGTTACAAATATTGGCTGTCACTTAGTGTTCTTTCAAGATAACGGAACTTTTTCCATTGGTGAAGGCGAAGAAAATCTCAAGCGATTTTATTAAGTTTTTTGCATATTTGGCCAACTATGAAAACGTTTCATGTAAATCAAGTGTTGCACGAATGACAGATGACCAGGAGATAACGATCTGGACGTGAAGTTGAACTAGCGATGAATAAATTATAGTCTGCGGTAGCGATTCGTAAAAGCGTTTTCAATAAAGCATAAACTTGTACTGGAAAAAAATATTTTCAGGAAAAGGATCTTTTATAACTGTTCGCGAAATTAAATATCGCCAACACTTCTAATGAATATTTCGTGAGGAAATAAAGTTTTGACCACCTAGACAGCGCGTCGCCAAGTGTTTATTTATTATTATTTAAATTGCTAGAATTTACGTCTTGTTTTCACAAGTGAATAAGGTAAAAACCATTCGGACCACAAATTACGCCCTTTTAGCGGGCTACACAATACTACTACACAACTCATGTAGGAAAACTTGTACTTTATCAAAATCATCACAATCTTGCTTTTATTTTTCCCGACATATCAGTTTACTGTTAAGTACTGATATCGAACAAAAAATACTTCAGAGGAGAGTTTCTGTTCAGTATCATGAAAAAAAATTGTATTATGAAGTGCTCGTGGTAGTAAAAGTAATCTAATTAATCATAACTGATAATTAAATAAATTAATTGCATTTATTGCAAATCATCATTCTAGTGAATTTCATCATGCTAATTAATTATGCTAATTATGTCCGGTCAAATTGATGAGATGTCCGACCAAAATGAAGATTTGAAAGGACATATGTCCTGCTAATGGAGAACAATTATTTCCAGTACTGTACATGTGTATCAGGCCTTTATTTGGTAGACTACGACTCATTTTCAGTTACTTGTTTGGTTTTGGTTAATTAACACCCAAGTCGCAAATGGAGGTCAGGTGCTCAAAGGCCCCCGGTGGCTGCAACCGCAGTCACACTCAAGGCACTAGAACCCCTGACTGGACTGCCCAACCGGCAACCCAGCCACGAGCTCCCCGCGCCGAGCCCTGACAAGCACCCGTCAAACTAGAGCCGAAAGGCTTAGTGAAAAGGAAAAAAAAGGAGACAAATAAGATAGAAAAATAATTTTCTGTACAAATATAACCAACTAAAAACCCCTAAACAAAAGCAAAATGGGAAGGGAGGGAGGGAACACCAAAAAGCTATCCTTACGGACTACAACCCCACGCTATCGTACAGCCAACACAATGGAAGCACATGGGAGAACCAGCACATGCACAGATAGAGGTAACCGCTGGACATGACCCGCCCCTGGCCACGATGTTGCTACAACGCTACGGAACGCACACAAACGCCTGGCAAACGCTAACCGAGAGCTAATACGCTAACATTACGCCAACCAAACGCAACAGAACAGATTTGCTCCTAGTCGTTAACTATGTTAAATTCCATTTAGCAATATTTAACGCCCAAGTCGCAAATGGAAGTCAGGCGCTCAAGGGGCCCGGGGACTGCAACCGCAGTCGCACCCAAGGCACAAGAACACCTGACTGGCCTGCCCAACCCGCAACCCAGGCACGGGCAAACCGCGCCAAGCCGAAGAGATCTCCGGGTTGGAACCAACCTGGAGCAACTAGGGGGGCTCGGAGCCCATAAACCACACCTCCCGAGAGCCCCAACCTGAGGTACCTGTACCCCCACCCCCAGTGGTCCCCAGAGTATGTCAAATACCTGCTAAGCCACCACCTGGTCGGAAACGCGGAAATGGAATCAACTGGTGTTCTGATATAGATCTGGTATGCATCACTAGACCAACGCCCGAGTCTTAATTAAGGTGGCTGGTACTAGTTTCCTCGCGCGAGGAACAGGTCACTTTTGCGTCACGCTCGAGAAAAACGAGCGAAAGAAGCGCGAGATTAAAAGACAAAAATTCAAAAAAAAGATGGCGGCGCGGGGCTTTTTTGTACTTTTGTAAGAAGTTTACCTAACAGCGAGTATTTGATCTGTTGAACGGCCACTGCGTATGCAGGAGACAGAAACGAAGATAAAGAAGACGATTCTCGGAGACATAAAGGTTGCTTCACATTTAAACGAAATATCCAACTGATATGAAATCTTGCGACGGCGGAAAAAGGAGAATTCAAGTGAAGGATAATCTGCCTTAAGTGGATGAAGACTGAAACTTCAAGGAAATTTAATGCAATATAGCCAGAAGTTGTGAGTAGGTCCTTTAAGATAAGCCCGAAAAGCTGTCTTTGACGGATATTGAATGATTTTCTAAGCAGTAAACGTCTGTAAACATTAGATCGTAGGTGCTCGCGCAAACACACGCGATAGTCTGCGGTAGCTATAACAGATCATACGCAAATGACGATCTTATAGAATCCAGATTTTTAGATGCGCGAGAACGCGCGTGGGAATTGCTAAACTCACGAAAGCTTTTGCATGAAAAAAAGTCCGGTGACCCCTTCATTTTATTCTTCCAATATGATAATAACGTTGAAAGCAATCGTCAGAAAAAAAAATAGAAAATTATAAGGAAGGACATTTGCGATGCGTGAAAATTTCCATTTTCTAGATTTTCTGAAATTCTGCTTTGTAGAATTTTTTTTAAATCGTTGTACATTTTCCTTTTCAAGTGCAGAAAGCAAGCACTAAGAAAAATCACGGGGTCACTGAGTAAGTTTTCAAATTATTTGAGCCATAAGCTAAAAAATGCGTCTGAATAATCCTTTGAAAGCATTGTCATGGAAACTGCTGGTGACAAAATGACACCCAATTTTGGATAACCAATGATTATATAATTCAACCTTGTAAAAGTGTCGACAAAAAACAACATGGAGGAGAATGATTCAAGACGAAAGACGAAAAGGTGGGTGGCAATCATGGACGACTGTTAGAACTTTAGCAACAAACCGAAGTGAATGTCAAAGCCTTATGTGCCTTATGGCACAAAGAGATATAGATAGAAAGTGTTAAACTGGCCTTGGTCAGTCTTTTTGTTTTATTCTTTTAAAGTCACAAACCATAAAAAAAATGAAAACTGGTACCAGCCATCTTAAGAGATCTGGAACACCCCGGGCTGCTGCAGTTGTCGCAGCCCCAATACGGAAGCTATGAGCCGAGTAGGAGCCAGAGAAACCTGCCCCATAAAGGATGGCCTGCACCGAGGCGGACAGCTGTTGCCGTGTAAGAGGACGACCATCGCCAAATGTAAACAAAGGCCCTGGAGTGGACCTATGCACTATGGGGCAAACAGACCCCGCACCACACCCCAAGTAAACATCACAACCTACACAAAATGGATCTGTCTTAGAGCACTTTAAAACAAGTGAGATTCACAAGACAGTCTGCTTGCAGGTCGCTGATGGTCATGTGTGCTAGGATGAAATTTGGAATTGACAGTGAACTCCCCGGCCCGTTAAAGCCAAAAAATCCCAATCAACACGCTGCCCGAAACATCATATGGTCTCAGGTGGTCAGGTCCAAAGAGCGCTGAATGACCTTCAAGTGATCTGCTTTGATGGGCAGGCGCCTTGGAGATACTGGACCCTTAACGCACTTTATGCCCTTCAACAAATGCTGCACCCAAAGACAGCTGACCAAAGGATCTGGAAAGCCATAGTTGATGTGGAGGGAGTGTACCACAGAAAGATAGACCTTAATGGGGGAATGGTTCAGGCCGTCCGACAACCAAGACGCAAAGCACATCAGTCTCCTCATCAGCTGGGGGAATGGAGCCATCCTGGTTTGTGCGATCCATCCTTGTGGCAATAGTCTACGAAACGCCGTTGGGCAGAGAGATACGCACAACGAGTAGAGGGTGCAAGCCCCTGGGTCAGGAGGAACTGACACTCCTGCATCAAGGCATCTGGAGTGCTGCCAAAAGGGAAGCCAGAATTTGGGTTGGCATCTGGTTGGCATGAGGCGCAAAACGTCTTAACCACTGCAACTGGAATCAAGAAACAGCATCAGCAATAGAATTGACTTTACCTCAACCTGATGACGCTGTGAATAAAAATGAGTGACGAATAGCCAGCATAACCAGATGACGCAGCAGTACCATGAGGCTCTGGTCACGGGAGGTGCTCGACTTAAGTAACGCCACGACTAACTCATTGTCGTAAAGGAATTCGACCCACTGGAACCCCCACTGAGGTCCCCACACAGAGGCTGCTACCACGATAGGTAAGAGTTCTTTGTATGCTATGAATAATAAGCTTTGAGAAGCTGATCAGGCACCACAAAACCAGTGGGACTTGAAAATAGCTCCAAAGCCCAGAGAACCCTTTGCATCTGAAGAAACCTGGAAGTCGGGAGGAGGGGCCCATGTGGGCACACAGGAAAAATTGAGACAATCCCAGGTCTGGAACAGCTCCTGCCACCAAGTTAAATCCAGTCGAAATTCCTGATTAAGCCTGATAGGGTGGTCATCCCGACGGAAGGCACAGAGCAAGTTGATCATCCTTCGAAGAGATATCCTACCCTGTGGGGCAGCCTTGCAGGTATGATAGAGGTGACCGACCAGTGATTCCAAGTCACGATGTTGACAAAAGCGTTTTGCAGACCATTCAGTTAACAATACGATAACCCTATCCCTCTTATCGGCTGGGAGGCGAGCCTAAAGTTTTTCAGAGTCCAGCTCGATCCCTAAAATTGTGGGATGAGCTGCGGGTCCCTCCAGCTTGTTGGGATGAAATGGAAGTCTAACTTTCTCACACACCTGAATGCAGGTTTGGAGGTTGTTCTGGCAGACAGGGGACGAGGGAGGGCCAAGGATAAAAAAATCATCCAAGCAGCGCCTGAGGAAATCAACACCGTAATTATGGACCATGAGTCCACTCAACCAAGTCAGCAATGGCAGTGAAGACAAAGGGCGCTGACCAGAGGCCAAATGGGAGTGTCATGTCCACATAATATTGTCTGCGCCACTTCATACCAAGAAGGGGACGATCAGCTGGATGGACTGCCGCATCCCTATAGGCACTAGAACTGGACTGGAACAAAACAATTGTGCCAAGAGGCCGTTCGTTCTGTTGGCAAGGCAACGCAACCAATTTATTTACACTTTGTACACGGGCACCGACAGGCACTTCTTGCCAATCAGTACTGTCCTTGACTTCCCCAGGGAGAGGGAGACCAGGTGACCAAGATCACCGACGGCGATTTTACAACAGCTTTAGATGACTTTTGCCACCAGAGCGACCAATGGTTACGCTACGTAAGAGGCGCCATAATTAAATTATCCCGTTTGTCAGAACTGAACGTTTCAAGAGGACTTTTGTTATTAGATGTTTGTTCTCTTATTAGTTAGTCAGTAAGTAATTTAGTTAGTTAATTAGTTTTATACTTGCTGAGTTCATATCATTGTAACTAAACACGTTTGTTGTTTAGAGTGCTTAATAAAGACTTTTATTATTATTATCATTATTAGTGCAGTCCTGTTGAGCAGGGAAAGAGGCAGTTGACCTTGGCATCTCCCCTTCACAGTTGCTGCACTTGTGACGGAATCTGCACCTGCCAAATTGCCACCGGCATATCCCTTCGTTCCAGGAGTGGCAAAATGGCGTTCGGGCGTCTTGGGTGCCTATGGTAGACTGAAAAAACCCACGCTGAAAGGACGGTGAAGATTGCCCTGCAGATGGGGCTGGTGACCGATGGTGAAAATTAGAGAGGTCCGAGTTCATCTTGGACCAATTGTTCAGGCCTGATGCAGCCGCATCCTTTCTGAAGGCTAGATCGTAATCCAGCCATGCCAAACCTGAAAATTGCCTTGCTGTTTTGTATGAGCAGTTTCTACTTTGTAAGATCTATCCACTGCTGTGGATGAGACGTACACATCACCAGCTGAAAGATCGCAAAAGCCTCTGTCCACGTCAAAATATCCTTTATCTCCACCTGGCGGTGCTTAGAACTGGATACCACCAGTTTACCCTCCAGAAAGGTCTGAGGTTCTTGTTCCTCTGCCCGCAGATTGGCAGTGAACAGATCTGCCAGCTCTACAAACTGGCCCTCTACAATTTTTCGAACCAATTTAGCTGGGATTGGTGCATGATCCAGGCCAACAATAAACGCTTTTTCGGCCATCGGAAGTGAAGCTAAACAAAGTAGGCTTGGCTTACTACTGAGGACACTGGTAGAGGTAATCCGTGAGGCAATGGGAGCAACGAAGCGGGTCGAGCTCCAGACCGAGAGGGCTGACACAGGAGTAAAAGTTGTTACAAAAGAAGGCAAAGCAAACATACCTGACGAAGGCACTGAAGCCCCAGACATATGGTTAGCACTGCTTGAAGCAACAGTTGATACGGAAGAGCCTGTGGGAGTACCGCTGATGGATGAACCAGGAATGGAGACCTATAATGGCAAAGGGGCATTCCCCTGAGTTGAGGAAATGATAGTTGGCAGCGTGCTTCCCAGTGTGTTGGCAACAGCCTCCACAATTGCCCTCATGTACAGAGGCACCATGGAGCCATAGGGTACAGCTGTAGCCCCTGTCGGTGCAGTAGAAGACAGAGGCGCTTCCTCCCAAAAATGCCTGGTGAACAAACTGTTGTTAGTTGACCTCAACGGATACGGCATGATGTACATACACAGTCAGCCTGGTCCAACAACCAAAAACAGGACAAAGAGGAAAAAGAACACAACTAAGGATGAAAGACTGTGTCCTCAATCCAAACCGTGGAAAAGTACTGCCGATAACGAGTGGGAGAAATGCCACAAACCTCAAAAACATAAGAGCGACTACGCCATGTGCACCAAACAGCGAACGCCCTGGCAATCCCTTGACAAGCGAATCGAAAGTGAACCACAAGGCGAAGGCGAATGAACCAGCGAAAAACAAAAGGGGGATGAAAAAAACCACGCTCGTCAAATAACCCACCTATTTTTTCTGAACACTAAACAGCCGAAGAAAGGGAAAAAAACACCCAAAAGCTATCCTCACGGACGACAATGCCACGCTGTCATACAGCCAACACAATGCAAGCACATGGGAGAACCAGCACATGTACAGATAGAGGTAACCGCTAGACACAGCCCGTCCCAGGCCACAAACAGCTACAATGTTGCTACAACACTACGGAACGCACACAGAATGAATGTTTTACAGAATAAACAGGACAAGCTCCATGAACTTCTTCCTGCTCGCAACACATGTACCTTTAACCTTAGAAATATGCGGAAATTTAAGCCAGTTTTTAAGACGAACAGGTTTCGTAGTAGTTTTATTACCTTCAATGCTCCCCTAAGCGCCCCCTTCGAATTAGCGCCCCCCTCTCGCCTTGGAAAATTAAATAAGCGCCCCGGGCGCTAACTCGAGCATTTACGGTACATGAAAAATTACACTCCTGATTGGCTGAAAACAGCTAGGCGCCTTTCTCATGTATTACTTGTGCAAAACTCGAGTACAAGGGTAAACTAGGCTCAGCAACAATAGCTCACACCAGAAACCAATCAGATTTACACAAAGTAGGTTGTGCTGATTGATAAACACAGTAACAGACCAAATAAACAAAAGCTTGGATATTTTTATGTATATTGATAAACACTAACAAAATTGCATTCCTGAGTAAGATTTCAGCTGAAGAACAAATTTTGATAGCATGTCAAGTTGACCATTTACATGATGATGTCAAGTTCACCTATTCAATTCATGACTCCTGAAACCTTGAATTTGGGAATCACATTGGCATGAAATTAAGAACACTTTGAAAGCACACTTGAATGATACCATCATGCACTTGCCTGTACATTGGACTCTGCTGTATATAAGTTATATCTCTGATTACTGTTCCAGAAATCTATTATGGTGACACTATGTCTATTAAACATTCTGTTAAATAAAACATCCAGGTCAAATTGTAAATCTTATTGGCTTAAAAATTATCAGCAATGCTAATGTAACGTTACTTTAGAGTACTACTCAACCTATTATTCATCAAAATATTGCTTGTGTTCTGATCTTGGGATGCACCTTTCTTTTTTCCCTAGATTCTTCCATTTGCAACCCCATATGGACCTGACTCAACTCAATTTTTCTGTGTTCTTTACTGAAAATACAGTCCCACAAAGCCCAAATACAATAATTATAGCAACGGTTTAATCTCAACCAACTGAAAATAAAACTTTGTGCCCTAATGGACTGTAGAAACCTACGCTCAGCATTGTGTTACTTAACATTTATGCAATGTCCAAAATTTGTCATAAATTCAAACCAAATGAAGCTCGCAATGGCTTTTAGTGTAGTGACAAAAATTCTTCACCTTGGATAGATACCGAAGTGCGCCGCCAGATCCAAAAAAGGTACGCTGCGTTAAAGCAATACTGGAAAAGTAAAACGCCTGAGCGTAAACAAAAGCTCCGGACGCTAAGCCAGCAAACCAAGATGTTGATACGAGCAAAACATCGATTGTATTTGGCCAAGATCGAGTCTAGTTTTAAAGATAATCCAAAGCTGTTTTGGAGTTACCACAAGACGTTCCTGGGCATCAAATCTGGTGTGCAGACTATAATCTCCTACAAGGGCGAGACAGCTAAAAAAACTGGTAGACAAAGCTGAGCTTTTGAACAAGTACTTCTCCAGTGTCTTTCGACCTGCCTCAGATAAAAACATTACTCAAATTTGCATTTCCCATCTACAACTCTCAGAAGTCGAGGTGTCTGTTGATGAAGTGCGTCACCAACTGAAAAACCTTGACACCACGAAAGCAAGTAGCACCGACGGAATTTCAGCTCGCCATCTCAAAGAATGCAGTAATCAAATCGCACCAAGTCTTTGCGCTATTTTCAATCAGTTGCTTGGTAGCGCCAAACTCCTAAGGGAATGGAAAACTGCTGATGTTGTACCAATCCTCCAAAAAGGACTCCAAGGAACCAGCTGAACACTATCGTCTGATATCCTTGCTACCGATTGCTAGCAAAGTTCTCGAACGCTGTGTTCTCAATCACCTTTATGAACATCTTAAGAGCTTCAAAACTGACCTTCAGCACAGTTTTTTAAAAAATCGATCACGTGTGATCAGTTACTTTCGGTTCTCCACTCAATCTAGATAATGACATACAGACAGATGTGATCTACTTAGATTTTGCAAGGGATTTTGCAGTGTGGACCACAACATCCTGCTTGCTAAACTGAATGGAATCTCTGGCAATTTGTTATCAAGGCTTAATAATTATCTTTCTGGCCGTTTTCAACGAGTAGTTATTGAAGGTGCTTCGTCAAAATGGGCCCCAGTCACCTCTGGAGTGCCCCAAGGGAGTCTCCTGGGTCCGCTCATGTTTGTTAGTAGGGACCTTATGCAAACCACGACGCCGACGGCAACGTGAAAAAACAAAAAATCTAATTGGAAGAAGAATAGCCCAGCACGTGCATTTTAAAACTTTGTTCATTTCTTAGCCGCCCTTTGCAAAACAACAAGGTGAAATCACCAAAGTTTGCGTCGTCTGCGTACCGAAACCGCGACGGCAAATTATTTTAATTTCCATTTGGCCCTCAACGCTACTTTTATGCGTTATGTTGAGGTTGAGGTCTGGCGCCCAATGAGACGGTAAACACATGCAGTCATTTTCGAAATTCTAACTAGAAGTAGAAATTAATCTACGTCTTCCGTGGCGTTGCCGTCCTGACTGCGTAAGGTCCCTAATTTTATTAATGACCTACCTGACACTACAAATGGTGAAGTAAAGACCGCGCTTAATGCTGACGATTCTAAGATCTTTGGTGCTGTTAAGAGCGTTCACGATTGCGAAGTTATGCAGACCAACCTCTCAAATATGGATGGACATGATATAATAACATCAAATTTAACACCTCCAAATGTAAAGTCCTGACAGTCACACGCAAGAACCAACCCGCACATTACAATTACACCCTTAACAACGTGCAACTCACTCGCGTGGCTAAAGAGAATGACCTAGGGATCGTTGTCACTAGCACTCTTTCATGGGTCAAACATTTTAATGCTATTGTGTCGAAAGCGAATAAGTTACTTGGTCTTCTAAAGCGTACTTGCCCACTTTTGCCAACGTGGCAGTCAGACGGATATTATACTTGTCCCTTGTTAAACCACAACTCCAAGTCAGAGCTACCTACAAGGCAAGATTGAGCGCGTGCAGAGAAGAGCCACCAGATGGATCCGGCGGTCTCGCATTGGAGAAATGTCTTATAAGACTTATTAGGCTGGATTTGCTACCACTAGTATATGATAGAGAGCTTAAAGATATAAGGTTTTTTTACAAATGCTTCAGTTTCGATGTTTTTAATAACTCTTTAAAACGAACTCTGACGAGCCTCTTGCGTACAACATTTGACGTGGAATACCCGTGCACTTAGTCTCTTGTGAGGTCGTGCGCTTGCCACCATTCATAGTTCACATGCTCATATTATTTGTGTAAGTTTTTAGATTCACTAGCCTATTTTCTATTTGAGCGGCACCCCGCATGGGTCCCTCAGTCTCATTCGTGCTTGTCCATTTGGGTGTTTTATTTTCTTTTATCTTCTTACAGATTATCTAAGTCTTATAATTTGAAATTCAATAGAGTTGTTAAAAAAATAAAATAAAAGAAAAAAAAAAGATTAATTCATTTCACGAATGTTACGGCCCTTCTGCAAAGTTTTGTCCTCGTGTACTAGTACACAAAATGCCAAAAATATTCGTATGAAATGCTTCCCTGAAGTTAATTTCACATCACTTGTCTTAAGCTTGGAAAAGAAAATCAAACTACAAAACTCCGAACGCAATTCCACTTCGTTACATAAACAAAATCATGAATGAATCTATCAGGTCACTATGGGAAATTATGCTGAGGGTTTTTTCAGTTCCTAAAATCCTCAGGTTACATGTACAACCTTTGTTGTCAAAATGAGACCTCCTCAACAAACTTTGGCCATTAACTCTTGTCTTGAAAATGAACATTTCAGGACTATTGCATGCTAGCTATCTTGTTTTATTGATGAACAGGAACAAAATTGAAAACTATCTAACCGTAATCAGATATTAGCTCTTCTAATAGAAACTCAATAAGACACCAGACACTAAAAAGTAACTCAATTTCGTGCACCACACATGTACGCATTGCAGACCTATTTTTGAACCACGAAGCTATACTATATGAGTGTTTCTTCGTTTTTTTGTGTTCTCTTTGAGGGTTTTCATCTCTGCTCGCGTTAGAATTTCGTCAGTTTTGGTTTTTTGTTTGTTTCTTCTGTTGCTACTTGCTGGCCAGGTGTTTTCAATGTGAACTTGTTCAAAAATTTCATTTCTATCTCCACGTAATTTGTTTTGTTGTCCGTTATTAGTTAAAGCTAAAAGCTCGATTTCATACTCGTTTTCCAGGTCATGCGAGACGTCTGAGTAGAAATAAAAACAAGAGAGAAGTTCCGAAAACGGTTGGCCATTAAGCAAATTGGTCGATGGCCTAACATAGTTACTCCATGCATCTGTTTCAGCCAATCAGAAGGCGTATTATATGGAACTTTTAAGAACCATCTTATTTATGTTCAATTTATGTACGTGAAGCAAGTAAAATGCAGATGCGCTAACCCATGTATAACCCAACGAGACATTGGAAATTCACTTCTGCAATAAAGATCCAATATTAAAAAAACTTGCTCAATTCAAATATCTGCTTGTTCAAGTGTACCTTGATTCTGTGCAGAGGCTGCTTAATGTTGAAGCTAAAGAGCTTTTGTTACCTGTATTTCTTTGAATGTCCTTTTTTGAGGTATCTTCTATGTGCCTTGAGTTTTGACCTGTAGATATAAAGAATGATTGTATAATATTACCTTCATCGATATCACTTACATATTATCTTGCTATCTTAGAATATGAGGACCAAAATATGACCGAATTTGTACCGAGATAACAAATTGATAAGTGTATTCAAATTCACTCTCAGCGAATTTAAATGTATCAGAGCAAAGACGAATGATGTCACTATGTATGGTAGAAGTACCAATTTGTGATGTATTGAGCTTGAGATACAAAAATAAATAGTAACACTCTTTTGGTGAAAATGAGGCCTCAAGCTGCAATTACAAGCAGCCGTTGTTACCATGTCAACAGAGTACTGCAACCCTTACAAAGGGCATTTTTGTGTAACCCATGAGTGTATCTGTACTCTGATAAAGAACGCTGTTCAGCTAATCAAAACGACCGTTATGTAGAACCTTCATAAACCATTTCATCTATATTCAATGTTTGCATTTAACCCAACGAGACATTGGAAATTCACTTTGAGTTAAAGATTCAATATTAGAAAAACTTGATCAATTCAAATATCTGTTTGTTCTAGTGTACCTGGAATCTGTAAAAAAAGCTTTTTAATGTAAACGTCAATGAGCTCTAGTTTACCTGTATTGCTTTGAATGTCCTCTTTCGAGATATTCTCTAGGTGTCTTGGGTTATTAGCTGCAGGTATAAATAATGATTGTAAAATGTTACTTTCATCAATATCATTTATATATCATCTTGCTACCTTAGAATATCAGGACTGAAGACCATACTTCCAATTGACCTATTGCAAAATTTTCCAGTCTTAGTCAATCATTTGCTATCATCATAAGGTTATACAATCAATCACAGAAGAGGCGCAACTAGATAAATACTAATCTTCCTTTTTCAGGAAGAATTTCAGTATATATGTTGTAGTTCAATTTTATACTTAGTTCATATTTTATTTTCCTTTGTTCTCAGTCATGTTAATGTATGATAATAAGTTTGAAACAAAGGAAAATAAAATTTGAACCAAGGATAAAATTGAACTCCAACATATACACTGTATGTCGTCGCAGCTGACATCGACGACATTGGTAGTGACAATTTTACTTTATTGCGAATTTTAATTCGTTAAAATGAAGGTAAGAAAGAGGGAGAGAGGTAGGAAAGGAAAAAGAGGAAGAAAGTACTCCGATAAACTTTAGTGGCTATTGATGGGATTCTTCTCAATTTGCTTTTATTTTTTTCCTTTTTTTTTTCACTTAAACTGCATTATCAAATTTTTTTTTCTATTGGCTTAATCAAAATTCTCTTTGTGGTGGTATTTAGCCCAAGAGGGCAAAATCTTAGCAAATTGTGGATGAAAGTGTTACGTGTCACTTAAACGTATATGCATTTTCTTCGTCTACCAGGGTAGAAATGAATACGTTATAAGCAAAAGAGGAAAGCCTGCACTAACAACCTCCAAAAGAACTCTTTCTATAATCAATTATTAAAATTGTCAATTTAGATTAAAGGAAAAATCTACTGCTAACACTGAGCTCTAGGAATTGCCATCAGCTAGAAGAGATTTTCAAATCAGAGAGAACATTTAAGGGGGCGCTGCCATGACAACAGAAGTTACTTAAATGTCCACTGTCAGGACCAGGCAGGAGAAGTTTGAGTTACGTATCAGTTTTAACTTACATTCAATCGATTCAGAGGTTTCACGTGTAAGTAGGTCACTTAAAGTTTCTTGTGTTTCTTCAGTGAACTGAGTAACCACTTCAGCAAACTTATGGTGAAATGCACTTGTGGTCTCTAAATCAGCAGGATTTTTCCATGCACCTGTTCCTGCATTCTTGATAGATGGAATCATTACAATACCGTCAGTGCTTGGTTCCTGTTCATTAAAAGTTTCACCTCTGAGGTATCTTCTAAGGCTTGTTTTGCCACTACGGTCCTGACCAATCAACATTATTTTAATACGTCTATCGTAGGTTTTGCCTGTTTCTAGTGCTCTCCTGTATGCTTCTAGTCCAACTGGTCCTCTTGCCAACACATATGCGGGGATTGAACCTGTAATAGTTTAAAACGTTAATTACATGTAATAAAATGAATGAATTTCTACCTTACGAATGCCATCCACGTGGTTCTTTTAAATTGCATAACAAATCAAAAAGTAGTCAATGCTCAATGAGTACATTCAAACAGTCTTGTGTCAACAGTGAGAAGTCTGTTTTTAAAGGGACTTCGAGAGCTTATCTCCCGTCTACCATTAACAGGACCTTAAAAGCCCTTTTCCAACCCTGATGCAACGCACGCCGCGACCTATTTCCTGTGACACGAAATTCAAAACCTCCAAAAATTGTCTTTCTCAAGAGCCATTCTGGAAATATAGTCAATTGTTTTATGGTAAATACATCCGCCACTCGTCATTTTAGTCTCCTTGCAGTATTTAGCAATTGAAAATTGTGCGCTTTGAAGTGGAAAGTTTCTAGCAATATGTTAAATCAGGCCAACTCTTACGGGATCTGTTCGCATGATGAAAGCGCCTCCAATACATCTTTCATAAACAAAACAAAGAACTACATCCGTCTCATATCAAACTGGATGCCAACGGTTCAGCCTTCTACTACACTTGAGAGCTACTTGGAGAGATTACAGTTTCCAAGCCAAAGAATAATTTGTAACGCAATGAGGTCACGGCCCTAAGAGAGTTGAAAAACAACTGAACTCTGTTTTAGCCCTCAAAAAAGCAACACAACAACGATCATGAATAAGACAGAAAAAAACAAAAAAAGCCAAAGTGCAACTCAACACCAGAGTCCACTGCAAACCTCTCAAACCATCGATGGTAAAAAACACACAGGAAAGGGTTAATGAGATCATTAACCAAATGCATCGGCGGAAACACATTAATGACATGACTAAGAAATGGCTTTCAAAAACTCCCAATCCACCTAAGCATACTTTTGCGTTGTTTTCTCTCTCGAACTGAATGTTAGAAGTGATGAACTGAATGTTTGAAGTGACGAATTGAATGTTTGAAGTGACGAATTGAATGTTTGAAGTGACGAATTGAATGTTTGAAGTGACGAATTGAATGTTTGAAGTGACGAATTGAATGTTTGAAGTGACGAATTGAATGTTTGAAGTGACGAATTGAATGTTTGAAGTGACGAATTGAATGTTTGAAGTGACGAATTGAATGTTTGAAGTGACGAATTGAATGTTTGAAGTGACGAATTGAATGTTTGAA